TTCTTTTTTTTATCCATCACCCCAAGAAGGGAGAGGAGGAGAGAACACACAACCCCCACCACCCAAGGCGGGCGGCCAACTTGTCACAGCGTCTTGTGCGCAACAAGAAAAAGAGGGGTGGGGTGGCTCCCTGGGGTGTTTCACTTATAAAATGAGTGGGGTTGGGAATGGTGGAAAACTCTTGCTTTCCCTGCTTCAACGCTGGGGAAGATGGGTTTAAAAGGTATTCCGCAAAGGTGACCCTTCCCCGTTCCCCTCATGACATGGTGGGCCATTCAACCGCACCTTTTACTCGGTGGCACGCGGCACCATGAACAAAGAACATGAGGGTGAGTCCTTCCTCCCCCATGATAAAGGCAAATTCCGCTATGGTGATGTGTTAAGGAGTTCCCCCACCGCCATGTGCAGTGTGAAAAGGAAATATCCATGGGAAATGCAGAAAAGGAAAAATAAGCACAATAAGAACACTTTCCCCCATAAGAACACATTCCCCCATAAGAACACTTCGCCCCATAAGAACGCATTTTCCCCCATAAGAACGCTTCGCCCCATAAGAACACATTCCCCCATAAGAACACTTCGCCCCATAAGAACACATTCCCCCACAAGAACATTTCGCCCCATAAGAACGCTTCGCCCCATAAGAACACATTCCCCCACAAGAACATTTCGCCCCATAAGAACACATTCCCCCATAAGAACACATCGCCCCCATAAGAACATTTTGCTTCATAGGTATTTTTGGTTTGTTGGCACCCCACCGCCTTCCCCACCACAACAATGTGTGAGGTATGTTTGGCTTTTCCCTGGGAGATGGAAGTGCGTAAGCTGTGCGCCGCGATTGGGCAGCCCCCATTGCCAAAGGCGAGCCGTGGTTCACTTCAGAGGCCCAAGGCACCTGCCCCAAGATGTTGGCGAAAAAAAAAGTTGAGGAGGGTACGGCACCCCGGGTTCCAGCACTGTACGTGGTCGCCGTACTAACGAGACCTGTGGCCGCTTAACTTCACAAATCGGACGGGATATGGTGCATTCGGCCAAGTATGGTCGTACCCGAAACACCCGCAAAAGAACATATTATGCTCCC